AAATGGTTAAGAAATCGGAAACAGTAATCAGAAATCAATGATTACTTTAAATTTCATATAATTTTGCAAACCGCAATAATTTACAGCTATTTTCATTATTTTGGGGCATTCGAAAAAGTCGTTGATAAGTTTTTGATGTCGGCCGATGATAGTAACCTATTTATTCCTGCTCGGTAGCTTATCGATTCGGCATCTGAAAATTTAACAGCACTATCGCTATGCACATTTGCAAATTTATAATTATGTTAAGTCTAGAGACTTAGAAGTAGTTAAGACTTGACTGTTATGTTATCCACCTTTAAGAATAATAAATGAAATAAATTTAATAAAATTAAGTTTGAAAAATCAATAAATTGTTTTATAAACTAGATATTTGTTAACAATAAATTTTTTATGTCAACTAGTTGATTTTTCGCCAATAAAACGATTTGGATCACTATTATGTACAGAAAAAAAGTGAAGAGAATATTTATAAATAAATATCGATTGATACATAATGTGTCTTTTTAACGCTAATATCGTTAGTATCTAGCATTATTACTTTAGTTGTATGTTTGTAGTAATAGATATACCATTTTAAAAATAAAGCCACTACGCGAATCTTTGTTCATTATTTTGAAATAATGAACATTGATTTACGTTGTAGCTTTATTTTCAAATAGTATATTTATTACTACAAACTAAAGTCAAACCTCTCTATAATCACACCCTTGGTTTTAAGAATTTGGTGCTTATAGAGTATTTGTGCTTATATAGAGGTTAAATTTTATAAGTATTACAGTCAGACCTTCCTACATTCACTTCCTCTATAGTCACATTTGCTAATAATCACGTAAAATTTTAAAGCCGACTTATATAATACTTGTAAAGTTTAATCTCCATATAAGCACAAACTCTCTATAAGACCAAAATTTTAAAACTAAGGGTGATTATAGAGAGGTTTGACCGTATATGAATTGGTTTTAAAAATTAAACAAATGGGACTATAAGGAGGTATCTGTAGAGGGGTCTGACTGTATCCGTTCAAAATTTTTATTGTAAAAACTGGTATAAGCCCGAAATTTTTATATAAATAGTTTAAATGGATCACTAGTTTATTTAAATAATTTATATATCTGTAATTAACCATCTTCAATCGCTGGACTACCTGGGGAGTCACAATTAGATCCACCATCATAAAGGCTTATCATTATTTGGTTGGCAGCTTCTTCAAGTAATTTCTGTTTATGAACATATTCTTCCTTTTCAGCTTCTTGATTGTTTTCGAGCCATGTAATTGTTTCTTGAATAACATCTCCAAGTTTCTTTTTGTCACCTGCAACTATTTTACCTGCAACTTTTTCATCCTAAAAAACAAATAGAGATCATTTAGTTTAATTTTTATTGTTATGCCAGAAATTCATAATCATACTTGAAGTGTATTTCGCAAGTTGTATGAATAAATCTCCAAGCGATCACGTGCATGAATTCTTTGAGCAACCTTTTCATCCTCTGCACGATATTTCTCCGCATCCGCAACTACCAAAGTCAAAAAATTAAT